ACACACATATATACATATATGTATATATATACACATATAAATAAAATTCATGTATTATATCTTTATGTTTATATATGTATACGTAAATACACATACCTTGTATAAAAAAGGAAAAATTTAAATATGCACATGTGTTATTTATGTGTTTCTTTATTGATGTTTTATATCCGAAAAATTGGAAATTCTTAGGTTGAAATGTATCTCAATTTCACGCACGCCAAGAAACGCTGGACGTAGTGTTGCAAAACTCAGGGCCCCGAACAGAAACATGCACGGCGCCCGCACTCTTGGGGGTGCGCCGCGGGGATTCGGATTTCACACGAGGACACTAGTCTCGTGAGGGGCAAAACGCAAAGGGCTTAGCGCTTGGAGGGAGGGTTTGGTTTCACGTTGCGTTTGTTGGGACTTCATTTGGAAAAGAATGCGTTTGTTGAGAACCAAAACGCACACTTTTGGGGGAGCATGCCTGAGTTTTCGGAAGTGATTGTCTGCGCTCATGAGCATGTGCAGTTGTAAGCGCCTTCACTGGCGCCTTTTCCGCTCAACCGTCCATCAGTGACACCACGCGGCGCAAATTGGCCTGCATCATATCGAGCACGGTGCTCAGCTGATACTCCTGCAGGGCGTCGGCTGGTCATAAGGCCAAACCTGTGTTTGGAACATTTTTGGCCCTTTGAAAAACCCTTGAAACCCATGTCCTGTTCCTCGGGCCTCTTGAGCACATTTGCCCACAAGGTGCGATATGAGAGTGGCGCATGGCCAGCAATTTCTCCGGATTTTTCCTTCTGCGCCCTCAGCCACACTTCAATGACAGCCCTGCAAAACGCAGGCGTGTAGACACCACTCAACGCAAGGTCCTTTCCTCCGTTGACAAAGATGCGTCCCTTGCTTTTGGACTTGGATCTGAAATGGTAGCATCTCTTTTTGGAAGTTCCAGCCAGGCGGAATCGCATAGCTGTTCTGCACAAGCGCCATTTCTTTGCCCACAGCCTCTTGGTTGCCCAACACTGATTGAGCTGCAGTTTGATGAGCCCTTCCAGACGCTCTTGCTGTTTCTTGCTCCATTTTCTTGAAAGAACACCCGCAAAGGCTTCCTTGATGTTTGTACACAGGACCGTAGGCTTTGGCAGCTCGTGCCCAAAACATCGCATCCAGGTATGGATGCGGTGCGGCCCGGTCTGCTCCATAAAAAGCATCAGATCCGGGTACCACCACAACAACGACGTTGCTGGTTGCTCCAGCCTTGGCTCCAACAAACCAGCAAAACAGAACCCGACCCCCCCGTGAAATTAACGTGGGATGTTGGTTTTGGTTCAATGAGGAGCCTCTACAAAGACGTGTGGAACGCGAAACGAGCGCCAAATAGATTGGATCGTTTTTTGGGGGACCAGTTGCAAGCGAGTGGCAGCCAAAAAACTGACCTTGAATGCAGAATCGAAAGCAGGATGACGAAGTTGACGACCAACTGGTTGGATGCCCTGATCTTGAAGCGGCTTTGATCGCCATAGGGCCGGTGAACGCTCCTCCTGTGATAGCTGCTGGATAAAAATACGAATAGGCCGCAAGGCGGCCCAGCAAGAAACATCCCAAAAAGTTCCTGGGCTGCGCCGCTCATGAGCTGTCAAACCACACATTTACCAGATGTTGGCTTTGAAACAAAACATACTAAATCCAGCAAAGAAACAATGCGTAAAATCAGGGACAGGATGCACCAGAAACCCTTGGCAGTCAATAAATTGTGGCTGTCGCTGACCCGCAGGTCCACAGGCTGACAGGCGATGCCAACCTTGTTGCACTCTGCGTTGAAGTTCCCTGCGCCACAAAACATATCGATTGCCTGCAAGTCTCTTTCTTGCGAAGACTTATCAAAGTCCCCAACCTGCTTGTGGATTTCTTCTAGATGCTGGCTGGCGTCAAAGAAGCCATCTTGCGGGTCAATGCGCCGCGCAAACACAGTGCTGGACGCCAAGGCTTCCGACATGCTACATGGACAACTTCGCTCAGCAGATCTCAGGCTAGTTTGAGTGGTGGTTTTGCAGCACAGTCATGTAGATGACTTCAAGAGCAGGCGAGGCAGACCCAAGTGTTTTGAAGGCCAGTTGTCACGCGTTATGCAAGGCAGACCCAAGTGTTTTGAAGGCCAGTTGTCACGCGTTGCGCAAGGCAGACCCAAGTGTTTTGAAGGCCAGCTGTCACGCGTTGTGCAGAAGCTGCGCCTTCCAGTGAACACAATTGTGCCACGTCCGCCTATGGCAAGATCGGGCAATCTTTGCAATGACACCGTTCAAACTCTCGTCCTTGTAGGTGCTGTAAAATTTGGGATTGCCCTTCTGGACACTGCGAGAAAGTAAGTGCAACATGAAATGGATCTTGGGAGTCACCGGGCCCCCAGCACGTTTGTAAAAGGAGACAAACCGGCAATATAAGCCAAACGCTTTCTGCGCTTGCTCGCGGCTCAGAAACCGCTCCCCTGTTTGAAAAACTGTGTTGAGATCAAGAGCTGCTTTGGCAGCAACGTGCAACCTTTCAGCTTGCCGGGCATCTGGGGGCTGCAAAGATTGAAAGTCTGCCAGGTTGGCTTCAAACATGTGAGCCACCCACTGTGCCAGGCAATGGGATTCCCCAGCTTTGCAGCTCAGGTGCGGGCTTGCAGTGGTTCCAATCATGTTGAGCGTCAGATTCCAAACCTCAGACGGTTGCGTTAAGGGTTACCTACATGGACATGATCACACCACTCTTCCAGAAGTCACACAGCTGACATGTTGAACATGAGAACAGAACAACTGACCAACGTAAAGCCAAGAGTCTTCGGTTCCCTTTGCCCTCCAATCAGGATCTTTTCGTTTCTCCTTGTACCATTGGAAAAGCTCAGACTTGATGGCCAGGAGAGCGAGCTTCTTCTTGTCCGCGGCGCCGACGCGAGTGCTGTTGCCCCAGAGCCCCGTGCCCAAAAAGAAATTGATGCATAGCGACACCAACAGCTGTAATGGCCCCAAATGCCAAGTGTGCATGATGTCCAAACTGAAGGACTCCAGCCCAACACCTGAAATAGCCAGCAAAGGGCAATCGTGCGTAAGGCGGGCGTCCAGTGAAGCTGTCCAGAAAACTGCTTCAAAAGGGGTTGGTGTTGTCTCAAAATCGCCAACGTCAGGCAGAGACCGTGATGGAAGAAGCCGAGCATGTTTGGGCAACCCGAGTTCTGGAATAGCTGCAGTCAGCACACGGCCCTTCAGGGTTTCTTTATACTCCAGTTGTTGAAAAACAGCAGATCGGTCAGCCACGTCCCGAATGAGCACCTTGTGAACGCTGTCAGCAACATCCTGAGCATAGTTTTCGGTTGTGTACTCAGGAGCCATTAAACTGTCAAGCGTGATGTTGTTCACATCCACTTCCTGCATTTGAGCTTGGTTGACAGTGCAGAGAGGGCAAGGGTGGGTCTTGTGGGCCCAGTATCTCAAACCAAAGACCTGAAGGAAAGCCGGCCAGTCTCCCTGGATGTCGATGACAGCGTATCGAATGGGACAGGTTTGTTCAAGGTTCTTCAAATCAACCGCCCAGGCTTCGAGAAGCGGGTACAATGTGCACCAGCCTCGGCATCCACAGCTGCACATTTCGTCGCTGCCTGCCCACCATTGAAAGAGTGTTGATCAAGCACATAGCCCGTTTGAAGGTCCAATCAAAAGCTATTTTGCAAATCAAAAGCCAAAGTGCGGACGAGGAAGGACAGGAACTTCTTGTTTGACAAAATGTCAGTGACGTAGAAGCCCATGAAGCTGTCGCGTTTTGTGTATTGCACTCCATCCCAATACAAAGCAATCGGCCGCACCATGGTTTGGTTGTTCTCCTGCATGGCTTTGACAACCACGGGGTGGTTCCAATAACTGCTGATGTTCCCAATCAGTCGGGGCATGTTGGTCTTGGTTTGCTCAGCGGTTGCCTCAACGTGATCTTTGAAGGCCTGGGAGGGCATGTAAACTGGAATCTCCTGCTTTGCTCGTCGAGCCTCACGTTTGATGTACATTGGACTTGAAACCTGATGCAAGTTCGGTTCAGGGTAGATTTTGCCAGCCACTGTTTTGATATGCTCACTTGCGTGTTTTGTAGCCTGGTCCGGGGCCATTGCCAGATCCTCCACACCAACTGCCCCGGCTTTGGAGCACCAGTAAGAAATGACAGCAACTGTTGAGGCGGGCCTTCCATCAAGACAAAACCTTTCCAGCAGGCAACGACGTAGCTGTTTGCCAGCTTCGATCTTCACTAAGCCCACAGCGGGATCTTCAACGGAGTCATCCATGTGAGGGTCATGGCTGATGACCCGGGCACGTTTGAACATGTTTGCTTCCTTTAAGGGTAAGTGCGTTGAATTTCCACTAGTACTGAATCTGCAAAGTGACAGCTTGTAGAGAAAGATATCTGTGGGTGTGTCTGTTGAGTTCCCCAAAAGCTTTGTAGGGTTTCAAGAGTTCAACCCAAACCCTAAGGCTGCGCAGCCCTAGGGGGGGGACCTAGGGCTGCGCAAAGGGTGTTTCTGTGAAACCCAACGGAAAAATATGGTGGCTGAGATCCCCCCAAAGGAACCCGGAGACGCCAAGAAAAGGATCCAACCTACTTCCTCTTGTTTTTTTTTGCCTTTTTTGGGGTTGAGGACTCCGGGACTCTTTGCCCTTCGCTGCGAGCGATTCGATCATGCATCAGGCCTGCAACTCAACATCCTGGTGTGCGACATCAAGCATGACCTATCAGACTGAAGAAAACAGCCAGGGACTCAGATTTTGTCTTGAAGGCACCCCTGGTTGATGGCCTCATCGAGGCTTCAGGCACTTGGAGCTGCGTAGAGCTTTTCAAGTGATCCCCTGGACAATCAAATCAGTGAGACTTCCGGGCCCTTTTGCTCGAAGGCTGGCTTGGCCCATTCATCGCCTTGCTCATGTTGTGGACGGTCATGGCAACAGAGTCCATCCTTGGTTGGTTCAAGCTTCACAGTTGTTCAACATGTTTCCTCAAATGCGGGTGAGGGTCTGGGCAACTATATTCTGGCAGCGGTCCCGGAACAACAACATCAACGGCAAGTACCGGTCCCCGTAGAGCTTCTTGAAGGTTTTGAGATTTGCCGGGCTGATGAGGGTAAGGCGAAGCTCGTCCACAAAGTCCTTCAGGGAGTCGCCCTCTTTCGGGCTCAGAGCATCCTTGAACTCCGCGGTAAGCTGCGCGTAGTCCTGCAAGAAAGTTTTGGCCCACTTCCACGCCGACGGTAGGTCGTCACCCAGGTTCAGGATCTTGTCCATAATCTGCTGCGACTTCTGCACCTTGCACATCATCTCCTTCGCAAAATTCTCCGCTTCCTTCTCCTGGCTCAGCTCCTTCTTCGCCTTAGGCTTCGCGGCGCCCTTCGCACCTCCACGAGCCTTCGAATTCTTTGGCTTCTCCTTTGGATCGCTCGCGTTGGGAGCAGGGGTCCCCGGGGCTGAGCCGGCGCCGTCATCCACGCCCGGCACCGCAATCTGCATCTCGGCCCAACCGGCAATGCCGTGCGGATGGTGCAGCTCTCCACCGCCTTGTTGCGAAAGGCCGCGAACTTCCTCATGGCCTTACACCTGACAGACTCTGTCTCGAAGGTGGCCGACGAGTCGTGCATGGCCACGACATCCTTCCAGCTCTCCTCGTTGGTGCTTGTCACCAGCTTCTCCACCAGCAGGTAGTTGTACGCCTCCGTCCAGTCATTCCACTTCACGAAGACTTCCTGCAGAGCACGCAACGCCACCAGTGACACCAACGCAAAATTTGCTAGGTTAAACCAATGCGCCCGGTTTTTGCAAAACGGTCCGGCCACTTCTCGCAGTTCTTGATGTAGCACTCTGCCTCTCCGCCTCCGGAACGCCCACTCCACCAAGGTGCGCTTGCAGCTGCAGCTCGCTCTTGAAGGACCCCAGCTCCTGGTGCTTGGTGCTCTCCCGCTTCTCGTGGAAGCGCTTGCTGACCACAAAGTCGAAGTTGCGATGCGTCGCCCAAGCGCAGCGAAACTTGCGTTTCAAATCATCGAAGAGCCACTTGTACGTCTCCTTCATGTTGGGGTGCTTGCCGAAGGACCGGTACATCGCGTTCCCCACGGGGCCCCTGGCGTTGACATCCAAGCCGCTGCACGCCCACCCCTCCATCCCCAGCTCACTCTTCTCCAAGAGGTCGTCGGTGACCTCGGAAGGTGACAGCTCGTGCGCGAGAGCATACTGCTGGATGGCCCGCTCACGAGTAGGCTTCTCCAGACACGCGCCCTGTAAACCTGCCTCCGCAGGCGTCATTGCCACCTCTGGAGCTCCACTTGCCGCCGCTGGCGCTGACTGCTCTGCTGGCGTTGCTTCAACTGCCGCTGCCATGCTTGCAAGTCCCGACTCGCTCACCTTCCAGCCAAAAAAGCTCTCCACAGACACCCCTGCAAGCCTCATCGCCCCCTCATCGCTGTGAAAAACAAGGCTCATCGCACCCTCATCGCGCTGGTTACCTTTATGTTTCCTTTTCAGAAAGTCAGATGTGGACCCCCCTCATCGCATGTTCATCGCACTCAGCCATGAACCCCTCATCGGACCATCATCGCTCCTGCGCCCGAGGCTCATTGCAGGATCACCGCCTACATGTGAGGGCCTCATCGGGGGCTCATCGATGGTTGCTAGGCTAATTGCATACTGAAATCCACAAGGATGGAGGGGCCTCATCGGAGCCTCATCGCTGGTTTTGGGGTGACCTCATCGGGCACTCATCGTTTCCCAATTTTCCTTGCAGCATTGCAAAGTTCACGTTTTTCCACATCGCTTCAACTTTGAGTAAGAACGCGCCATGAGGCACCATGAAGGTGACACAGCCAAGCTCGCCTGTCTGCCTGTTGCTCTGTGTTCGTGTGCGAGACACTTGTGTTTGCTTTTGCTTGAGTCTTGAGGGGTTAGTGACAAACCTTCCATACTTCCATAGCAAGCACATGCATTGCTTTATGAATGTTTCTGCCTCGCTCAGGACTCTGTGTGTGCAGTTGCAGTTGCGCACAGGCTCAGCAGCGGCAAGCAATCCCCGGCTCAGGCGCAGACCTGGGCCAGGTCTACAGACAGAGCGCGGGAGCTTGCACTGTTTCACCCCGAAATGAGGTTTGGCCATTAAACAAAAAAGGAATACTCTGCATCACGGTTTTTAGTCCAGCTGAGTTGAGCACTGTTGCACAAGCGACTGTCGTGGCGGCGCTGGCCTGAGTTCAAGCATGGACAGCGATTGTTTCCTGCGCAACTTCCTACAAGAAGGGCTTCGGAAACCCTGCGCTTTAAAGGCCAAGTTTGGGCGGCGCCCTGTTATCTCTGTTTCCAAAACCAAAAAAACTGGCAGTGTGACGTGAAACAGTGAAGCACAAGCCGATGAGGCCCCCGCAAAATCCGGGTCGCTGGATCCAACCTGGGCAAAGCGCAAGCCACTTTATCGAATAGAGCTACAAAATCGACACAGCAACACGCGTGCACAAATGAGCATTTTCCCTTGATCCTCTAAGTGTGCTTGTGCGCGTCGCACCTGTGGCACCAGTGCCTCACCCTCAAATTGCAGGCGCAGTCACAAAAAAGGCAAGTGGCTGGGCAGCTGCCAAAGCTGTCAGCTGGTCTGCGCTCCGCGTCAGCTATCGCTCTGAGAAGAAACAGCAGTGCCTGCTGCCCAGGGACAGAATGCAGATCAGCTCCAGGCTGGCCACCCATGCACACAGATGCCCGCGAGGAAGATGGCGTTCGCGCTGCATCAGGCCTGTCAAATGACACAGCCTGCAGCAGTGACCTCCTTGAAGCAGCTTCTGCATCGCTTCCGGGTGACGCATCTGGGTCTGAAGCATCTGGGTCGCTGCATGGGGGTGAAGCATCATCTGGATCCTTCGGATCTCGCCGGAAGGCTGAAGAATCTGGGATGCTCCCGGACGAAGCATCTGGGTAGCTCCCTGGTGAAGCGCTCCGCTGGGATGGACCAGCTGGGAAGCTCTGCAAAGATGAAGCAGCTGGAGTGCTCCTCCAGGGTGAAGCGTCTGGAGTGCTCCGGGATGAAGCAAGTGGATTGCTCTGCTGCGGCAGGTCTTCCGCGTTGCTCTGCAGGCGGGCATCTGGAATGTTCCGCCCAGCAGAAGTAGCTGGGCGATTGCCAGATGTGCTCCGTAAGGAGGCCCTGTCGGTCAGCTCTGTCAACCGGAAAAAACCAAGCATGGTACGGAGCAAGCTCCGAGGGGGGCTTCTGGATCTGCTCATCTTGAACTGGAAAGCGCTGCGTTTGATAAGCGTGCGCCAGCGGGCGCTCACACACACACACACAGATGCACTGACACCAGAAACACATCCAATATAATCCTATTTCAGTGACCAATTCGGCAACATCCCCCAAACCTGATCAAGCTTGAAGACCCAGATAGATCTCGAGCGACCGATGCCTGAATCACCCCAAATTGATTTAAAAGCATCTAAAGCACATCTCGAAAGACTTCCACAGGATTTGCCCCTTAGACATCGGTAGCGAGATTAATGCCCCCCAAATGGATGCTCATACTGCACCCCAAATGGATGCTCATAATAATGCCCCCCAAATGAAATGGATGCTCATAATTAATGCCCCCCAAATGGATGCTCATAATCAATGCCCCTCAAACTTCAAAACAAGGGTAGGGGAAAAAGATCTTTTTCCCCTACCCCTCCAATAGAGCCGGCAAATCCCTAACTTCCATTCTGTTTCAAGCGACCGCGCTTCTTTCAGGAACGCATCAATCTTAAAACCAATTCAAGCGAAAGACTTCGATAGGCCCACCTGAGAGAAACGACTGATGCTCCAGACACCCCAACCCTAGAGACACATTTGCTTCAAGTGGCTAAATGGACGGTCTGCGCCGGCTGAGGTCTGGACCGCTGTCGCCAACGATGCGCCCCAGGCGGCGACCTTCGGCAAATTGGGAGAGGGTCAGGGCTCAGGGGCTCACGCAGAGAGTTTCCAGAAAGCCGGGCGGGGTGATAGAAAATCAGCATTTCAGGGGTTGCGTCCAAATAAGGAGAGACTTCGACAAGCTGTTCATGGATAAACTCCAATCCGGGCATTTGCAATAAGCTCCCAAGTGGAAATTTCTTTCCTTACCTGCAATGCGTAATTTTGCAACTGAATGAGCATTGAGAGCCAAGCAAGGGCGCCAGACGCCAGATTGTCACCTGCAAGCAAAAGGGAAGTGTTGAGTGTCCCTTGATTGAACTAACAGGCCTCAAGGTATCAATATTGTCCAGCTGGGTGTTGGTGTCCAAGCTCTCATCTTGCGGATATCCGCCAAGCAAAGGAGGCGTGCTAGGCTGAGTCTCAAGCTCCTCGAGAGTTTTGGAAGTGAAGGGCGGATCAGGCACCTGTCCCTCAGCTGACGGATCGGGCGCCTTTCCCTTGGCTGGCGGATGTGGCACCTTTCCCTCAGCTGGCGGATCTGGCGCCTGCAAAACCTTTCCCTGCAGATCTGGTGCCTGCAAAACCTTTCCCTCAGCTGGCGGATCTGGCACCTTCCCCCCAGTTGGCTGACCATGTTCCCCTTCAGGTGGCTTTGTCGCACATTGCTCCAAATACTGAATGAAAGCTGGGTCCGTGGCAACCCCATAATCCGTCTTGGCATCCTTCTGCAAATAAGGTAGCAGGCTGCCACTGATGCAAAGACTCACAAGCTGTGCCTTGCGGGCCTTGACGCCGTCCTCCCCCAATGAACCCGTTGAAGCTTCGGCCGCGATGATCTTCAAGATGCCCATTGCATGTTCCGACTCAACACGGGCCCCGACCACAACTTGGCACTTTTGGAGCCACTTGTGTGAACCCTTCTTGTTCAAACAGACCGCAATGTCAGCTCGGCCATTTTGAGGTTTCAAGACAACCCTCCATGCAGAAGTTGCAGCTCCAGCTGCACCCACACCCTCAAAGTAGCCCTCGTCCAACAGCGTGGACTCCTGCGCAGGCTTGGCCTCAGAATCGCCAGCTAGGCGCGGGCTCCCAGCTGCTTTCGCCTTGGCCTTGGCCTTGGCTTTCGGCGCCTCGTTCATGAGCTGGCGCCAATCTCCCTGCGAGACAGGGCGAAAGGGAACTTAGCAACTGTTTAGATGTCCTTCTTGGGGGCTGACATCATTTTTTGCTAAAGGTGGGAAACTTGCATGGAAAGTAGTTCTGCGGCAGAACGCCGTGTTGATTTTCCTGGGAAACACAACCACCCCTTCCCCTGAAGGGGCCTTGTTGCTTTTTTTTGCGAATTGGCCAAAGGCGCCTGTGTGATGTGTTCCACAACGAAAGTTGCGCCATCTTTGAACTTGCACACCAGAGGGGCCAAGTGGTCGCCGGATGGGTCCAGGGACGGCTTCAGGCTGAACTCGATGGGCCCTTTGCGGCTCCCTCCCAAAAGCTCCTTGCGCCAGGCCAGCTTGTGGTCTTGCGACCAACCATGTTCGAATTCAGTAGGCTTGGGTGGTGTCGCGGTCAATGTCAAGGGCTGCGGCCGAAAGCCTGAACAAGAGCGGAAGGTCCTCACATAAACCCTGATTAGACATGGGAGGAAAAGAAACACCTGTTCAGACATGTTGCCGCAGAAAAAGAAGACCAACAGTCTTTCAAGCTCAACCTGGCAACCTGCGCAAGGCTCGGCTCTCAAGATCATGTCAGTGACAAAGCCGTGCTCAGGCAGTGACGGCATCATCGCCTGGATGCTCTGCATAGCCTTGCCCTCAGAGAAGCCACTGCTGGATGGTTTGGCATCCTGAGCAAAGCAGAAATGGTTGCCCAGGCGACTCCAAACCTTAAGCAAAAATATTTTCCTGTCGAGAGATATGGTTTTGTTGGGGGGATCAACGCATGTTGAATAACGCGAGGGCTCTGATGGAGCGGCTGCAGGTGGCGGAGAGGACTCTTCCTCCTTGGCCTTGGCCCTTGCCTTTGCCTTTGGCGTCTTTGACACCTTTGGTTTCATCTGCTGCGACGACTTCTTTGGCATTGTTTTCGCTGCTGTTTTCTTTCTGCTTCCCATGGCTTCTGTGGACTTTGATTTCTTGATCTTCAGCCAGCCCTTGGGGCTGGAGGCTTGCCTGGGTTTTTGTTTCTGCGGTGCGAGGCTCGGCTCTTCCTTCTTTTTTTTCCTCCGTGCGTCGCCTTTCACGTCACCACCATCGCACTCTTCCACTTCCTCCATTTCTTCCTCTACCCCTTTTTCCTCTTCCCCCCCTTCCTGATCCTCATCATCACTGCCTTCCTCCCTGTGCTCCTCATCATCACTGCCCTCCTCATCCTCCGACTCTTGCGCGCTTGTTGTTGTCGAAGTGCTGTCCTCTGGCGCAGCCTCATCCGCGTCGCGAGATGCCGCTGGCCGTTTGAGGGCCCGTGGGGAACCTGTCCACATTGCCTATAGCAGGGTTACAGGGCAAGAACTGCAACCCGAGGTTATTAGGGAGATTTCTGGCGCGGTCAAGGGCTGATAAGCGTTTCCACATGGCAAAACTGCGTGCGTTTGAACACATAAACCAAACCGAATTGGGGTGTGAAACACGTCGCTCAAGTCGAAGGTTCATGTTAAACCGGCCTTGGGGATCCATTTCCTGCAGTTGAGCGCTTCTTGAGACATGTGCCTGAACATCGCTGAAATCCTCAAGCTGCGCCCGCTGGCCCAGGCTTCCGCGTTGGCTGTCTCGCACACCTTCACTTCCTGAGTCGCCGTCCGGTGTCTCAGGGCAAGGGATGGCAAGGGCATAACAGACGCTTGTCGCTTGTTTCTTTTGGGCTGCAAAAGCAACCAACGAGCAAATCAGGTGTTTGCTCTGTAGCTGCTGACTGTGTTTGCGTTGAGGGCGGCCTCAGCAACACAGTTTGATGCATGGGTATTTCCAAACACAAGACAACGGGTGCCACGTCAGCCAAAATGCGTCGTTCACTTTGAGCAGAGCTTTGCAAATCACACCAGTTGCAAAATTCCAAGTGTTGCTCACCTCCTGGACGCGCTTCAGGTGCGGCAGGTATAACTTCAGCTTCTCCAACTGCTTTGATTTGATTTTCCTGGGCGTGCCAACGTGCTGTTCCAACATGCGGGTGCACACATCAAAAGCACATGCCAGAATCACAACAACTGCAACTTTCATTGAAGATTCCTGTCTGCAGTGTAGCTCACAAAATTCAGGCTCTGAACCCAAGGCTTGAGCGCCTCTGCCAGCTCCTCCACGTTGCCGCTCCCAGGCAGGCGGCCAAAAGCCTTGGCTGTCTCGCGCTTGGAGCCGCGAGCCATTCGCGCAAAAGGCGCTGCAGGCAGACTACTGTTAAATTGACATAGATACCATGGTTTGCACGTTTGGTTGAACTGGTGGATCGAACATTTGCCATGGACACCATGGTTTGCAGATTTGGTGGATCCTGAACATTTGCAGGCGTGCCATGCGCACACAGGTCATTCTCATGAATCCTGGAACCCACGCGGCTGCAGTCGGATTGTAAGTCCTTGAACTCTGAACTTCTGGCAGCATGCGTGTAAGGCTCATGAGTTCGTGGGCCATTTCACTGAACCCGTGAAAACATGTTCGAACGCGAAGCCTCCCAAAATCGAAACATGGAACAGCGTCGAAAACGCACACAGTCTGATTTGGAGATGTGTTTCTTTATGGGGGTCAGTGCTAAAAACAACATTGCGCGAACACCAACTGCGTTCTTCGAATCTGATTTGGAGACATGTTTCTTTTTGGGGTCAGTGCTAAAACTACCTTGCGCAAACAGCAACTGCGTTCTTCGAAGAAAAAACACAGCCTTTGCGCAACTGTTCTTTGTTGCAAGAAGTTCATGTTTTTAATTCAGCATCACTCAGAAACGTAAGTTATGTTGCAAGCCGTTCGTGTTTTAAATTCAGCATCACTCAAAAAACGAGTTGTAGTTTTACTTACGCCCTTTCAAGTTTTAAACTCAGCATCACTCAAAATATCGCGAGTTGTAGTTTTAATTACGCCTTTTCAACATCTTTGCGCGTGTGACATTTGTCTGTCGCATGTTGGGTTATCAGTTGTTACCTGACAAGAGAGACTGGGTCACCAGCCGTCACCTGGGATGAACATGCCCTGAAAAAACGTGAGATGCGATTGTGATTTTTTTCTGATAAGGATTGGGTAGACGGCCGTTACGTGAGCTGCAAGCAGGCCCAAAAAGGAAAGCTGTTGTGATTTTCTCTGTCGCGTGTCCGGTTCTCAGCCGTTACTGTAGGGTTATCAGCCGTGAGCTCGGTCGCAAGCCCTCCACGCTGCGTCTGCGGCGCACGTGCGTGCATGGCTGTCGCTCCTTGCGTCAAGAGTGGCTGCCCCTGCAACGCGAAGTTGTCTGTGCCTCAACCAGGCGATCGCTCTGCTATAATTGGCCCGCGACACATTGGCGCGCATTTGCGTTGGCCACCTGTTTGTCTACATCACGTGCGCGTGGCCATAACACGTGCGTCCTCATAGATGCAAACACTCTATTTTTTAGAGCGCCTGTTAAGACGTCCTCCACACGCAGCTCCCCAAGCAAGTAGGCGTCCACAAGCTCGATCCTGGCCGCCAGCATGTCCAGCGCGTTCCGGATGTAGGTCTCGGCCCGGGCCTCCAGCTCCAGGTCGGCGCGAACGCGGGCCGGGCTGCGCCAGTAGGCAGGCTTGTGCAGCAGGCACAGCGCCAGGAACCGCAGCCGCTCCGGCACGCGCAGCGCGCGGCGGAGCCACAGGTCATCCAGCGCCAAGAAGGGGACGTTGAGCAACAGCCACTGCCCGCAGTACTCGTCGCCCAGGCGCGTGTAGAAGACGGGCGACACCAGCACCTCCCCCGACTCGGCGCAGACATTGATCCACTCTTCAAGCGGGGCCTCGACGCGCAGGTGCTTGTGGATGCGGCGGTAGCGCTGCTGGATCTGCCCGTCGGGGCCAGCCTTGCGCAAGAACTCAAGGCAGGTCATCGCCGGCGCCCGCCAGGTGCAGGTCATGTAGTTGGCGAGCCACTTGGGCAGCGGCAGGCAGCCAGTACAGGTGAGGCCATAGGCAATTCTCGAGGCCGGGGGTCTCAAGGAAGCTGGCCGGCAAACGCTTGACCGGTTCGCCCGCAGCAACCTCGCCCCGCTCGATGCCCCGTGCCCGCGTGTGAAGGAACTTGTAGCGCAGCTCAAGGAACTCGCCGTAGGCGTTGTCCTCACTCCGCAGCAAGTGCTTGAGCGCCTTCTTCGCCTTCTTTTTCAACTTCTTCGGCAGCAGATCCACCTGCTCGAGGACGCCCTGGGGCTTGAAGGAGAAGCGCAGCATGTCCCCGTGCACGGCGTAGCCGTGGGGCATCCGCTGCTGCGGCCCAGCGTGGATGTTCAGCGGGCGGAGAGCCTCCACCACCTCAGGCTTCAGGTTGCGAAGCCGCCTTGGTTGGTCCTGCGGGAGCGGTGACCAGTACCCTTGCCGGCCCTCCGACTTGCAATGCTGGCAGGCCGCCATCTCAGCCGGCGCCCGATCCCGGCCCGCAGCGTGCTGCGCTTTGAAGGGCTGCGCAACCATTCGGCCGCATTGGCCGCACATCCGCCAGGACTTCGAGAGACACCAAGCGCGGAAGCGCTGGGCTCGCGTTGTCGCCCAGGCCGTATCTGGCCGCGAGGCCGGGCCGTACACTGCAGGGAACTTGCGGGCCAGCCTTCTCGAGCCCGCTCCACAAGCCAGTCAACCACATCCTCCGAGTGCTGCGCCTTCAGCTGTGCGGCCGCCTCCTCAAACACGCCAAGGTCAAGTTTGGCAAGCTTGTTCAGGAACCTCGCCGCTCCCTGCCCCTTTGCGGCCTCCCGGAAAGTGTCAGGGCCACAGATCACGCAGAGGCGCAAGTCAGTGTTCTGCGGCACCTCCGCGCGCTCGCCCAGGCAGGCCACATTGAACTTGCAGCCTTCCCCCGCGCACAGGCGGTGGCGCGGGGCGCACGCTGCCTCAGCCTCCCTGCCCGCAGCCTCCCGCGCCTTCCGGCGCGCCTGCTTCTCGTACTTTTGGACTGTCTCCAGGGGGTGTTCCGCCTGCAGCTTGACAACGGCTTCCTCAAAGACGCCTGGGTCCGCCTTCGCCAGCTTGTTGAGGAAGCGGGCAATGACTCCACCGCCCTTGCCCGTGGAAGCGGCCTCCCGGAAAGCGTCGGGGCCACAGACAATGCACCGGTCAAAGTCTTTGCCTCGCAGGACCTCAGCGCGCTGCCCTGAGCGCTGCGGGTTGAACTTGCACCCTTCGGCCGCACAGAGGCGGTTTCGGCTGCCCGGCGCAGGCGCAGCGGCCGCCGCGGGGCGCTTCCGGGCGCCGGCTGCCGGTCGCTTCATTGCCATGAGCAGCTGCGGTGTCAAGCTCCTAGAAAAGCGCAACCTTGCACTACAGCTTGCAATGTTGTCTTCTTTTCTTGTGGCCGGACTGACTTGAGCCGAGCGCTAGACGCAAGCGGTCGCTTAATAATCAGCAAATCAACCAAACTGGCGCTAATCGAAACACCCTGGCAGTCAACTCTTGGGCCCCCAAAAACCTTCGAAGCCTCGGCCGCGCTATTTTTCTAGAAGCTTTGCCACAAATCGGTTCAGTGACACAGAAAATGAAAAAAGATCTCTAGCCCCTCACAAAAGCGGTCGTCGAGGCGGCCAGCCGTGGTTGCCAAAGAAAGCCTCCGCCGGCTGCCAGTGACCAGCGAGCGAACGAGGAGCCAGGTCCTGACAAGAGCGAGAGACGTCGAGCGACACGCGTCGAAACATTGAACTAGCCCAACAGCAACAACAACGCAACGAAAGGCCGCAGCAACGAGAAGGCCAAAAAAACGACAACAAGGACGACGACGAGACGACGGGCGTGGGCCAATCGCCTTCCAGCGCCAGCAACCGTCGCCCAAGGCGTTCTCGATCGGGCCTTTCGAGCCTTTCGAGCCTCTCGAGCCTCTCGATCGAGCCTTTCCCTTTCAACGATCGGGCCTTTCGAGCCTTTCGAGCCTCTCGAGCCTCTAAACCCTAAACCCTAAACCCTAAACAGGCGAGCATGCCTCTGGCCATATACATGGGCATGCGAGCCTTCGGGCTCGAGGTCAAGCCGAGACGCCAGTGCGAACCTGAGGGCCTGCTAGGGTCAAGCCTAGCAGGACAACCGCTGTGCGGCTCTGCAAGTGGCACGACGACCCACACCCTTTGGCGCAGCCAATATAGGATTACCCTAAAGCCTGCACCATTTGGCTACGGAGGTCGCTTTGTGCACTGCTGATAACTTTTGCATACGGGTAATAGCGGGGCCTGCCCCGGATGGGGGGGGGTACACGGCGGGCCGCTTTTTGCGCCGCTGATAACTTTTGCATACGGGTAATATGGGGACCTGCCCCGGCTGGGGGGGGGTGTACGCCAAGCACAAGGAGCCTTGTGGATCCCTTCTTGCGCTGTTGATAACTTTTGCATACGGGTAACACGGGGGACTTGCCCCAGCTGGCGGGAGCGCACGCCGAGCACAAGGACCTTTGTCGATCTCGCTTCTCGCGCTGTTGATTTCCTTGTTTCAGACGAAGCGGCGAAGCGTGCGCGCAGGTCACCCTCGCGCAAGCGCAGCGCCTGACACGCTCAGTTCTGCGGCTTGCTTGCGCGCTTGGCCCGCGCGTGTTTGGGCAGCCGATCTTGGCGCCTTGGCAACTCCACGCTTTGCAGCGTGACCGTAGGAAAAGGTTAGCAAAGCAACACCTTGCGGGCGCTGAGGATTATGCACGCCGTCTACACGGTGCTTGCCGCCGCGGCCCACGCCCAGGCAAACGCAGCAGGATCAGGTAGACGGCGTCTACGCGGCGCTTGGTCGTCCGCCCGCCTTGTGGACGCTGAGGATCATGTAGACGCCGTCTACATGGTACTTGCCGCCGCAGCCCGCACCCAGGCCAGCGCCTCGCGCAACGCGCTCGCGTGGAACCTGCGGCCTTCGCAAGCTGGGCGACTCGAAGAAGGACTAGCGCTTCGCAGCGCGACCCATGCGCGCTTGGCCCACGCGTGTTTTGGGCAACCGGTCTTGGCGCCTTGGCAACTCCACGCTTTGCAGCGTGACCCACGCCTGCGCAGGAAAAGGTTAGCGAAGCAAGCGGCTGGCGGCTAAGGCGGGGACGCTGAGGATTATGTAGACGCCGTCTACATGGTACTTGCCGCCGCAGCCCACGCCCAGGCAAACGCAGCGTGCGACGCGCTCGTGTGGAACCCGCCCGCGGATCAGTTAGACGTCGTCTACTTCTTCTTGGCGGCCTGCGCAAGCCTGGGCAACTCCACGCACTCTGTCGCCCGCCCGCCTTGTGGACGCTGAATTATGTAGACGCCGTCTACATGGCGCTTGCCGCCGCAGCCCGCACCCAGGCCAGCGCAGCGCGCAACGCCGCTTTGCAGCGCGACCCACGCCTGCGCAGGCTAGAAGTGCGAGGCAGGCAGCTGGCAGCCCAGCTGCTTCAGACGGCGCCACGTTGGCTTGGAACCCGTTCAAGGGTTCCACCTCGAATGGAACCCTAAACCCTAAAAGTCTTTACCTTGGGTGGCTGGGGCGGGCGAACCTGGCTACGCAAGGCGAGCGGCTTGGGGGATTTTATCCCCGAGCGAGCAACCACATCTGCACACCCTAAACCCTAAACCCTAAACCCTAAACCCTAAACCCCTAAACCCTAAACCCTAAACCCTAAACCCTAAACCCTAAACCCTAAACCCTAAACCCTAAACCCTAAACCCTAAACCCTAAACCCTAAACCCTAAACCCTAAACCCTAAACCCTAAACCCTAAACCCTAAACCCTAAACCTCAATTCTCTACTCTAGTATATATATTTAAATGTTTGCCCTACAACGGGTCCGCCCGCAGGGGGCTTTCTTAAGACTTTCTTTTTAGTTCTGCACGTGTCCCGCAAGCTTCTAAATCGGTTTCGTTGTTCAAATCCAAGTTCGGGGTCAAAATCGCAAATTCTGCCACGCGCTAAACCTGCGCGCTTCTAGGTCGGGCCCTCTTGGCCGCGGCTGAACCGTGGGCGCGCCGGGGCCCCGCCGCGGGGCTGGTGGCCCGGTGGTCGCGCGTCCGTCTTTGAAGCGAGTGGTCCCGGGCTCGGTTCCTCCCTGGCGCGCGCTTTGCGCTTCGCGTGTTTCTACATCTGTTTTGCGGCTCGAGCCCAAGTTCGGGCAGGCTTTTGCGCGCGCTAAACACGCGCGCTTTCTGCTCAGGGCCTCCTGGCCGCGGCCCCGCCGCAGCTTCGGTGGCCTAGTGTCCGTCTCTGAAGCTCGGTTCCTCCCTGGCGCGCGCTTTGCGGTGAGCCGGCCCGCCGCAGCTTGTGCGGCCCTCACGCGTCCGGCTCGGTCCCTCCCGCGCGCGCTTGTTTTTCGTGGCCCCGTCGTAGCTTCGGGCTTCCGGGCAATGTTTGTCGTGGCCGCGCCGTGGTTTTCCACTTCCGGCAATCAAAAAAGCGCGGCGCCCGTTGATTATCATTCCGCTTGATCGGCTCTCTGAGCACTTTCACGGTCGAAACGCTCTTGGCTTTGCACGGCGCAGAACTTCCAAGCTGGTGGGGCGTGCTGCAGCTCAGCTAAATGCGAACTCGAAATCATCGCCGAGCCGTTGGGGCTGCTTCATGAAGCGCTTCTCAGCGGACGTAGTTTCCTAGCCCCTTGCGCGCAGAATCTCGCAGCTACTCTCTGCCCTTGCAACATATCGCTTGCCGCCCGCCAATTCGTCTTAATCGCCGCTCGCCGATTTTCGCAATTCGTCACCTACTCTGTCGGTCGCGCTGCGCCTCGCGCCGCTTTGCTTTCGCTGCGTTCGATTTGTTGAGTTGCGCTGGTGTAGAAGCTGGCCCTTGGTAGCGGGCCTGGGTGGGTGGGATTGAGATCGAAACTTTTGATTGACGTCGCTATAAAGATTTCCATGTCTCAAATCCTGTGAACCCTAAACCCTAAACCCTAAACCCTAAACCCTAAACCCTAAACCCTAAACCCTAAACCCTAAACCCTAAACCCTAAACCCTAAACCCTAAACCCAAAACCCCTAAACCCTAAACCCTAAACCCTAAACCCTAAACCCTAAACCCTAAACCCTAAACCCTAAACCCTAAACCCTAAACCCTAAACCCTAAACCCAAACCCAAACCCTAAACCCTAAACCCTAAACCCTAAACCCTAAACCCTAAACCCTAAACCCTAAACCCTAAACCCTAAACCCTAAACCCTAAACCCTAAACCCTGCGCGTCCGTCTCTGAAGCGGGTGGCCCCGGGCTCGGTTCCTCCCTGGCGCGCTTTTTGCGCTGCGTCAGCGCGCGCTCTGAAAGCTTTCTTTTCAATTCTCTGTATTTCCTGCAAGTTTCTAAATCTGTTTTGCTGCTTGAATCCAAGTTCGGATTGATGGGCGCGTTCGTGACCTTCTGGGACGCTCGAAGACCCACTTGTTGGCCAACCGCGGGGCGTGGCCCCCATCGGCAGCCAGGCAGGAGGACAGCCTCCTGGAGTCGCAGATGCAGCTTGGCAGCCTGCAGTACCCGCGCAACCCCATGAAGGGAGCCTCGGAGCACTTCCACTTCCTCTCGGTCCTTGCGGGTGGTCACGGCTCGGTTCCTCCCGCCCGCGCGCGCTTGTTTTTTTGGCCTTGATCC